AAAAAAAACCCAAATGCTGAAATGTTAAAAATTAGTTGTAATGGTTGCTTTGATCCTGATTGATTGCGTTTTTGTTGCAGTGATGATGTTTCTTTTGCACTTAAAGAGAGCAAGGAGTTGCCATGGTTGGCTAAGTATCTATGATTTGTGGATGTTCGAGTTTCGTTGCAATTCTTTTTCCTTCATGGATAATCATTGGTTTCATATCCTTTTTCCCAGTCATTTTCAGTTCACGTCAAACTCAGAAAATTCTTCACAAAAACAGTCCTATTTTCCTTGTTATCTATGCGCTTGTTAAACATTATTTATTTGGACCAATTCCAGAATCTTGATTGAAATTGGTACGACTTATTTGAATGTGTTATGAGGATGTTTTTCCAATAGCCGATTATCGTCTTATCTGTCTATTTAAATATTTCTCCAGATTCAGAAAAAATATGAAGTTTGACAGTATGATGAGATTCTGTGGACAGGATGTAATTATTCATATGGTATGACAAGGCATGTATAGCATGGATCTGAGCATTATAGAGTACATAGAGTTAATTAACAATCAAAGCTGGCATTAGATAAACTGCATGATTGCTATGGAGGGTTGAATGGAATAGGTTGAATATGACCTGGTCGAGTTTGTCATAGAAAGAGAACAAGAATTTGCTAGTGTTAATAGTGCTTTCCATTTCAAGAAAAAAGAATGTTGACCGATAGCACGTCATGAAATAGATTCCACTGCATTAAAATTGCTTTTGAAGATATGATTGATTTATGATTATGATTCCCACTCCTACATACAAGACAAGTAATTATATTATGTATGTTAGTAAAAAAGGATGAACTGACACTGTCGATACATATGTTTGGATACTGAACACATGATTTGACCTTATGCTTGAGATATGGTATTTCCATTTGGTATGAAACATGATATTGATATTGAAAGTACACTTTATGAACATATGTTGCACTAAAAAAATGGTTTTGGGATTCAACAAGTGTATCCGATTCTTACTTAGGTAGATTCCCTAGAATATACATTTGGATCATAGCTTGATAAACTCTACAGAGGTAGTGGCGTTTGTTGAAATCCCACCTATAGGAAATTAATCAACTAGACTTTGATAAGAGGGAGACAGAGGAGGAGGTGATTTATAGTAATAAGGAGGTAGCGAAAATGGTTAAGGCGGTGGTGGTGATGGCGAAGCATAAATACAAGGCTTATAATCAGCAACTATACCAGTGGCTATCAAACTAAACGCTAAATTAAGGAGGAGCCATTGCCCTAACTTGATTGAGGTTCAATATTTGGAACTATTTGTGTTCTGCATGGTTTAGGAGGAATTAGCTCTATATAGGTAGCGACATGATGGATATAAGTTATTCATATAATTTTATATGTAAAAAAATAAAATTTTAAAATAAAATATGAATATTGATATTCTATTCTCGCATATTTTTTTAACAAATCTTTCAGGAAGAATAAATTACGGAAAAAAAGAAGAAGAAGTTAAAATACAAGAGAATGAAACAAAACCATTGTTTGACTTATCATCTTCATATTCACAATGGCGGAATACACATGTGAAAATTATGGAAAGAGACATCTAGAGATAAAAATGAGTCATAGTTGCATATGTAGATCTATATGCGCAAAGGTCATAACTACATATATGAAATCTACTAGTATTTTTGCCTATAAATTTTAGACATTTTTTTCTTCTCTTTTACATTTTGCTTAATTTTTAAGTGAATAATACCATCTAATTAAATAATAAAATGGTATCACCAGACTCTAAAGGTGGTAAATGTTATTTTCATCTCATCAAGTGGAGTGTTGTTACATGACCCCAAACAGGAACCTTGATATAAAGTTTTGGAGAAGACTTGTTGGAGTACTCTTGATTTAGTAAGAAGTTAAATTAAGTTCCACTAATTATAATTTTTTATATATTTAAAGGAAAAAGATCTGCCTAGGATTGTTATTGTCTTCCGTTTCGTGTTACAAACACCTATATGCAATCTTTCAGTGGTATCAGAGCGCATTCTTAGCTACAAATATAAAAATTATGGCTAATACTTAGCCACAAAAAATAAAATTTTGTGGCTATTTAGGATTTCGTTAAATTTCTTAGCTACAAAGATTAAAATGGTAAAGCTAATTCCTCAAATTTGCTACAGTTGCTAACTATCATGGCAATAGTTATCCAATAACCACAAATTTATTGCTACAATAAAATTTCATAGCTAACTAGTATATTTTTGTTACGAATTTATAATTACTATAGCAATAGTAACCTTATAGCCACAAACAAGGACCTTGATATAAAGTTGTGGAGAAGATTTGTTGGAGTCCTCTTGACTTAGCAAGAAGTTAAATTAAGTTCCACTAATTATAATCTTTTATATATAAAAAGAAAAAAATCGGCCTTGGATTGTTATTATCTTCCGCTTCGTGCTATGAACACCTATATGCAATCCTTCAGTGGTATCAGAGCCATTATTCTTGTGTCTAAACTTTATTTACGAAATATTTTAAGATAATATTTGAATAGTTCAAACTATAATACTTATGTCTTGTGCAATAATCACATTGTTTGAATGTATATTGATTGATATTATTATATTGTGAATAAAATATGTATTAGGACTTAAAATTTTGTAAACTAATGAAATAGTTCATATTTTATTATATTGTGAATAAAATATGTATTAGAACATAGAATTTTGTATTAGATACAATGTTAATCTATAGTAGGTTATTGGATTATGCTGTCATTTTAATTGTTATTAGTTCATGAGATGTCAACAACAACAATCCCAGTGAGTTCCCACGAGTGGAGTCTGGGGAAGGTAAGATGGACGCAACCTTACCCCTATTCTGGAAGGCCAGAGATGCTATTTACGATAGACCCTCGGCTAAAGGAAGAATGAAAAAAAGTAATGGCAACAAGTAGTAAGTAAGCAAGTAAACACTAGGTAGTAATAACAATCTAGGAATAAAGAGATATCATACTAACACTAACGCTATCGAACTGAGAAGACATGGGGAGAAAGTTCGACTACCTACTAATCTACCACCCTAATCCTCGACTGCCACATCCTTCTATCAAGTTACATGAGCAATTAAACCCATTACTAGAATACTACATCCATCTGTAATGTGAGTATCAGCTGGAGCTAGGATATTGCTGCACACCCTTATATTCTAATCTTATGTTCCTTCTGCTCAGGTTATGTAGGTTTATCGTTTGTCTTTTTTGTTATCTTTGAGATAGCTGATTATGTCAAGTCTAGCAATGATTTTGTAATGACTTCTTTTGATGTTTAATACAAAGTTAGTTACCAAAAATACCTTGATTTTGGCAATATAGTTTCTCTTATATTTTGTCTTTTTGCGTTGCTAGAAACATCTCTTTTTTTTTCTTCCCTTTCTTTTGTTAAGATATACATATCAGAAGTGTCGTAGTTAGAAAATAATAATTTCTTTTGTTGTAGAATTTTTGTTCTTAGTGTTTACACATTTTCCTGATGAATAGAATAGAAGTAATATTAAATTGAGGAATAAGATGAGTATCCTATAATTGCAGAAATCAATTCCTTCTACAAATTTTCTCTCTACTACTTGCTTCCAATAAAATTGGGTGTAGTCTTCATTATCCAAATTTTGAGTCTAACCAAATTTTAAAGACACAAACATTGCATCTTATCAAGATTATTAAAATATAAAAAAATAAATAGTTTGATGATGTATTTTTAAGGGATGAAAATGGACATTGGGCCTAACTAAATCTAAGAAGCTAAGTCAAGAGGTGATTATGAGCACTTAAGTTTTGACCATAATCTAATTATTTTTACTAGTTTTTACTTTTTAGTATATAAATATTCTTTGAGTTTAATCTACATATTTTAGCTTTGTTTTACCTTTTATAAATTTTTCTTAAGAAAATTAAAAATCACACAAGATTCATATTTTTGAATTATTAGCTTTGTTTTAATTTGCAATAGAAAAAAATTCACAAAAATATATCTTTCTTCTAATTTTGGTAAAGCTTTGGTAAGGCTAGTAATTTTATAACACATTTCAATGATGAGCACAAATGCAAATCAATTTTCCTACAAAACTCACGTGAAAGGGAGGCTGGCATCCTTATCCACTATAAAACACTCAGCATATATATTACAAGGACTCACTGAAAAAGGGAGAGGAGAGAAAACAACTGAAAAACGGCCTTCTTCTGCATTTTCCAAGCTTCCCATAGCGAGACCCAAAAAATTTCTAACCATGAAAACTCTATAAATCAAGCTCCATCGTCAAAATCAGGGGAAAAACCTTGAAACCAATTGTTTTCCTCCATGGAACCTAGCTGAAAAGCTGTTCAAAAACTACCCAAAAACAGTCCCTAAACCACCAAATCATCACCCCAATAACCAGTAAAAAGCAACCACGAATAGCTCATTTTCAATCTGTTTTATCGCCGAGTTTTCCAGATTTTTCGGTGAGTTTGGAGGTCCGTGGATTCCGGCGAAGTTTTCTGCACAAAGGTTCTCTCTTCTTTTTCTTTAATTTGTAAATGTTTGATGAAGTTGCCTCATATATATAACCTGTTTAGGTGCTTTTAATCAAATGGGAATAAATTCCTATATGACTGGAATAGAGTATCGTTTACATATGTGGGTTGATTCGAATTTTTCAATTATCAAAACCAAATCAATGGTGACGGTTTTTTAAATTTATAAACCAAACCAACAAAGTCGGATTTTTCAATCTCGATTTTTCTCAAATTTTTTGGGTTTTTTTTGAGTTTTGAGTTTTTTTCCGGTAAAATCTTCATAACATAAAATATGTAACTTATGCTCTAAATATTTCTTAAATCCTAGTAAAATACAACTATATAATATATTTTACAAGAAACTAACACAATAATATGACATAAGTCATAACATTAAAATATTTAATAACAAAGATAAAATAATAAAATTACATAAAATAAATATTGCTAATTAATAAGCCATAATAAAAATTAACATAATCTAAAAATACTATATAGGTCATGCTAAAATAAGTATAGCTAATAAGTACTAATATTATTTACATAACTAAGCACTAAAGAAAAAGATAAACTAAGTTATGCATTTTCTGTAATGACCCGACCGGTCGTTTGGAGTGTATTAACCCCGATTCCCTATTTACTGTTTTCCCAGTACCTTTTTCTGCTTATGTGACTTGCCGGGAGGTTTTATTTTGGTTTCTAGAGTGTTTTGGGACACTTAGTCCCCAAATAAAGGCTTAAGTCTTAGGATTTTGACCGTAGTCGGAACTGTATGAAGATGACTCCGGAATGAAGTTTCGCCGGTTCCATTAGCTTCGTTGGGTGATTTTGGACTAAGGAGCGTGCCCGAATTATGTTTTGGAGGTCTATAACTCATTTAGGCTTGAAATGGTGAAATTTGGACCGGTAGTGGAAATTTTGATATCGGGGTCGAAATTCAATTCCGGAAGTTGGAGTAGGTCCGTAATGTCGAATATGACTTGTGTGCAAAATATGAGGTCAATCGGACGTGATTTGATAGGTTTCGGCATCGGTTGTAGAAGTTTAAAGTTTCAAGTTCATTAAGTTTGAATCAGAGGGTGATTCATGTTTTTAGCGTTATTTGATGTGATTTGAGGGCTCGACTAAGTTTGTATGGTATTTTAGGACTTGTTGGTATGTTTGGTTGAGGTCCCGGGGGCCTCGGGTGTGTTTCGGATGCTTAACGGATTGAATTTGGACTTAGGCTAGTTGCTGAAGATTTTCTTGTTTCTGGTGTTTTCGTACCTACGGACGGGAGACCGCAGGTGCGGGATCGCATATGCAAATGAGGAGCCGCAGATGCGGCCAAGAAGGAGCTGGGCAAGAACCGCAGGTGCGAAGATTTTCCCGCACCTGCGAGAGTCGTAGATACGGGCAGCTAGGCGCAGGTGTGAGGGGAAGCCGCAGGTGCGATGCATTTCCACACCTACAATAGTCGGAGATGCGGTCGCATAGCCGCACGAGCGGAGCCTGGGATTCTATGTGGAATCCGCACCTGCGAAGGTATTTTCGTAGGTGCGGCGTCGCAGATGCGACAGAGAGTCCGCATGTGCGAGATTTCTGGACAAAACACTTAAATGCAAAGGTTCACGATTTTTGCTTATTTTCAACATTTTGAACTCGGGTTTGGCGATTTCTTGGGAGCATTTTGAGGGGTTTCTTGAGCTAAGTCCCTTGTACTTATTTTTGATCAATAATCTTGCTTCCCCATTTATTTTTCCACCTAGTTAGTGTGTATTTAAGGTGAAAATTGGGAGTTGGAGGCTAGAGTTTTGAAGAGTTTGATTTGGGGTTTTGAGTAGTCATTTGAGGTCGGATTTTGATAAATTTGGAATGGTTGGACTCGTGAGTGAATGAGATTTCGGATTTTGTGATTTTTGCCCGATTTCGAGATGTGGGCTCGGGTCGACTTTTTAGGGCGAATTTTGGAATTTTTGTTAAAGTATTGATTTCATTGATTAGATGAGTCTATTATAGTTGTATTTATGATATGCAATTATTTTTGGCTAGACTTGGGCCATTGAGAGTCGGATATTCGTGAAAAAGACATTGTTACCTATTGATTTAGCTTGGTTCGAGGTAAGTGACTTGCCTAACCTTGTGTGGGGGAACTCCCCTTAGGATTTGATACTGCTTTTGATATATGAGCGCCGTGTACGTGAGGTGACGAGTGTGTACACGAGCTATTGTTGCAAAACTCCGTTTTCATTAAGTAAAATAACTGTCTTCCTTTAACTGAGCTACACTTGTATATGAATTTATCCTATTTAGTCTAGAACAACATGTATACGTGTCTTAATTGCTTATGTGAATTCTGTGCAGCATGCTTAGTGAATTTCCCGCATCTTCCTTGACTGATACTTAGTCTAAATCGTAAGATTTCATGATGTAGTTGTATTTCCATTGTTTGCGCTGCATATTTACTTTGGGACTACAAAACGGTATTCTGGTAGATCCCCTGCTCTGCATATTTACTTTGGGACTACGGAACGGTATTCCGGTAGATCCCCCTGCTCTGCATATTTACTTTGGGACTTATGGAACGATATTCCGGTAGATCCCCCTGCTCTGCATATTTACTTTGGGACTACAAAATGGTATTCCGGTAGATCCCCTGTTGTTATTTCAGTATACTGAGCTGTTGAATTGCTATGATTTCATTCTTTGTTAAATTTCAGTACTTATTGTACTGCAATATTTCATTCTGTCTTAGTTTATTTTATATATACTAGTATGGCCCTGACCTGATCTCGTCACTACTCGACCGAGGTTAGGCTTGACACTTACTGGGTACCGTTGTGGTATACTCATGCTACTCTTCTACACATGTTTTGTGTGCAGATTCAGATACTTTTTATCAACCCCGTTACTAGCTGAGAGTGCTTGTTGCTGTCCGGAGACTTCAAGGTATATCTGCCACGTCCGCAAACCTCGGAGTCCCCCTCTATTCCCTCCTATGTCATTTACCTTCCTTACTTCTGTTATTAGACTCTAGTGTATAGAGATACTAGTTTCCTTCTGTAGTTTGTGACTTATGATATTCCGGGTTTTGAGATTTCTGTGTATTTTTGAATAGTTGGTTATTATACATGCGAGGCGGCATGGTACCCAGTCATGTTGTTATTGCTAAAGTTAGTTGTTAAATTTATATTTTCATTTCATTATTCCGCAAATATCAGGCTTACCTTGTCGTAGAGACTAGGTGCCATCACGACGTCATGCGGAGGGAAAATTTGGGTCGTAAAAAGTTGGTATGAGAGCTCTAGGTTCATAGATGTTGTGAGTCACAAGCAAGTTTAGTAGAGTCTCGCAGATTGGTACAGAGACGTCTGTATTTATCTTCGGGAGGCTATGGAACTATTAGGAAAAATTTCACTTCTTTGATTCCTTGTCGTGTGAAATTGTTGACTTCGAAATTCTTAACTTTTGTATTCTATTCTCTCACAAATGGTGAGGACACGTACAAGTGGATCTGATGATTAGGCACCCGCGCCCCATGCTAGAGTTGCGAGAGGCCGGGGTAGAGGCCGAGGACTTCCATGTGGTGCAGCTAGAGCACCCGCACGAGCTGCTACAGAGGATCCCCCAGTAGCTCCAGCTGGAGGGTAGACACCTGAGATATCTGTTGCTGCACCAACCCTCCAAGAGAGTCTAGCTCAGTTTCTGAGCATGTTCAACACCTTAGCTCAGGCTGGATTGATTCCACTTGCTCCTGCCACATCTCAGGCCGGGGGAGGAGCACAAACTCCCGTCGCCTGTACTCCAGAGCAGCGGGTTTAGGTCGACCAGGTTCTAGAGATTTTACCAATGCTGCCGGTAGCTCTAGCTCAGCCCGAAGTCAGGGCAACAACTTCTGAGGTGGAGTAGCTCAGACTTGAGAGGTACAAGAAATACCACTCACCTACCTTCGGCGGATTGGCTACAGACGATACTTAGGGTTTTCTGGATAAGTGTCATCGTATTCTCCGTACTATGGGTGTAGCGGAGTCGAGTGGGGTTTCGTTTACTACATTCCAGCTTAGATAAGCAGCCTATCAGTAGTGGCGTGCTTATGAGTTGAGTAGTCAGGCTGAGGCAGCTTCACATACATGGACTCAGTTCTCGGACATGTTTTTGAGAGAGTATGTCCCTCAGAGCCTCTGGGACTCATTGCGCGCGGAGTTCGAGTAGCTGCGCCAGGGTTCTATGACTGTGTCTGAGTATGCAGTCCCTTTCAGTGTTTTGGCCCGACATGCACCGGTCTTGGTTGCCATAGTTCGAGAGAGGGTTTGACTGTTTATTGAGGGACTCCACCCCAACATCCGGATTAGTATGGCAGGGAGTTGGATATGGATATTTCTTATCAGCAAGTTGTGAATATTACTAGGAGATTGGAGGGACTGCTTGCCTAAGATAGAGAGGAGAGATAGGCCAAGAGGTCTCGAGATACTGGTTATTATTTTGGAGTTCGTGCCCTAGCAACTCGCCATGGTAGGGGTCATGTAAGCCGCCCCATTCATTCAGTTGTTCCAGCCGCCAGCGGTGTTCCAACTCCTTCTAGACCCTAGGAGCCTTATTATGCACTACCAGTATCTAGTGTGTCTCCTGCACGGGGTGTTCCTAGCGGCCAGTCCAACAGACCTAGCCCGAGCCAGTCACAGCAGCCACGCCCTCCCAAAGCTTGTTTTGAGTGTGGCGACACTTGCCATATGGTGGGGGATTGCCCCATGATTAGGAGGGGTGGAATTCTACAGACGTTTCAGCTACAACGTGCTCTACTGGGTCCTCAGGATATGATTACAGCACCAGCTATAATCCCACCTGCTCAGCCAGCTCGAGGTGGAGGTCGGGAGGTAGAGGTCGCCCTAGAGGGGGAGGCTAGGCCAGATATTATGCCCTTCCTGCTCGTACAGAGGCAATTGCTTATGATTCTGTCATTTCAGGTATTGTTCCAGTCTGTCATAGAAATGCGTCAGTATTATTTGACCTAGGCTCTACATATTCCTATGCGTCCTCTTATTTTGCCCCATATTTGGGCGTATCTCGGGATTCTTTGAGTTTTTCTGTTTATGTGTCTACTCTTGTGGGAGATTCTCTTGTTGTGGACCGTGTGTATCGGTCGTGTTTGATTGCTCTTAGTGGTTTTGAGATCAGAGCCGATTTATTATTGCTCAGCATGGTGAACTTTGATATTATTTTGGGCATGGACTGGTTGTCGCCTCATTATGCTATTCTTGATTGTCACGCCAAAATTGTGACGCTGGCTATGCTAGGTTTACCACAATTAGAGTGGAGAGGTACCTTGGAGTATACTCCGAGCAAAATTATTTCATTTCTTATAGCTCAGCGAATGGTTGAGAAGGGATGTGACGCGTATCTAGCTTATGTGAGAGATGTCGGTATTGATACCCCTACGATTGGGTCAGTTCCAGTAGTGAGGGACTTTCCAGATGTGTTCCCAGCTGATCTTCCGGGCATGCCGCCCGACAAAGATATTGATTTTGGCATTGATTTTTTGCCGAGTACTCAGCCCATCTCTATTCCTCCATATCGTATGGCTCCTTCTGAATTGAAAGAGTTGAAGGAGCAGTTACAGGAATAGCTTGATAAGGGCTTCATTCGGCCAAGTGTATCACCTTGGGTTGCTCCTGTCTTATTTGTGAAGAAGAAGAATGGTTATATGCGGATGTGTATTGATTACTGCTAGTTGAACAATGTCACAGTGAAGAATAGGTATCCATTGCCTCGTATTGATGACTTGTTTGATCAATTACAGGGTGCCCGAGTGTTTTCCAAGATTGACTTACGTTCAGGATATCATAAGTTGAAGATTCGGGAGCCAGATATCCCGAAGACTGCTTTCAGGACTAGATATGGTCACTATGAGTTTCTTGTCATGTCTTTTGGGCTGACCNTGTTCCGGCCTTATCTTGACTCATTCGTCATTGTGTTTATTGACGATATTCTGGTGTATTCTCGGACTCAGGAAGATCATGAGCAGCACCTGAGGACTGCGCTTCAGACCTTGAGAGAAAAGAAGTTATATGCAAAATTTTCAAAGTGTGAGTTTTGGCTAGACTCAGTGGTATTCTTCATCATATAGTATCGAGTGATGGGATCCAAGTGAATCCGAAGAAGATTGAAGCAGTGCAGAGTTGGCCCAGACCGTGCTCAACTACGAAGATTTAGAGTTTTCTTTGTTTGGCGGGGTATTACCGTTGGTTCGTTGAGGGTTTCTCATCTATTGCAGCACCTATGACCAGGCTGACCTAGAAGGGTGCTCCGTTCAGGTAGACAGAGGAATGTGAGAAGAGCTTTCAGAAGCTCAAGACAACTTTGACTATAGCCCCAGTATTGGTATTGCCTATAGGTTCGGGGTCTTATACTGTATATTATGATGCAACGCGGATTGGTCTAGGCATGGTGTTGATGCAGGATCATAGGGTGATTGCCTACGCGCCCAGACAACTGAAGGTGCATGAAAAGAACTATCCTGTCCACGACCTTGAGCTAGCAGCTATTGTTCATGCCTTGAAGATTTAGAGGCACTATTTGTACGGTGTCCCTTGTGAGATCAATACCGATCACTGGAGTTTGCATCATCTGTTCAAGCAGAAGGATCTTAATTTGCGTCAGAAGAGATGGTTAGAGCTGCTTAAGGATTATGACATCACCATTTTGTACCAGCCCGGGAAGGCCAATGTAGTGGCCGATGCTTTGAGTCGTTGGGTAGAGAGTTTGGGGAGTTTAGCATATCTACCAGCAGCAGAGAGGCCTATGGCATTGGATATTCAGGCCTTAGCGAGCCAGTTTGTGAGATTGGATATTTCTGAGCCGAGTCGAGTATTGGCTTGTGTGGTCTCTCAGTCTTCTCTTTATGATCGTATCAGGGAACATCAATATGAAGACCCCCATCTGCTTGTCCTTAAGGACACGGTCTATCATGGTGATGCTAAGGAGGTCATTATTGGGGAGGATGGTGCATTGAGGATGCAGGACAGGCTATATGTGCCTAATGTGGATGGTTTGCGTGAGTTGATTCTCTAGGAGGCTCACAGCTCGCAGTACTCCATTCATCCGGGTGCCATAAAGATGTATCAGGACCTGAGGCAGCATTATTGGTGGAGAAGGATGAAGAAAGATATAGTAGAGTATGCGACTAGATGTCTAAATTGCCAACAGGTGAAGTATGAGCAGCAACGACCGGGTGGGTTGTTTTAGAAGATAGAGATTCCGGAGTGGAAATGGGAGCAGATCAGTATGGACTTCGTTGTTGGACTCCCACAGAATCAGCGGAAGTTTGATGTAGTTTGGGTGATTGTAGATAGGCTGACCAAGTCAGCTCATTTCATTCCTGTGATGACTACCTATTCTTCCGAGAAGCTAGCTCGAATTTACATCCGCGAGATCGTCAGGCTTCATGGCGTACCAGTAACTATCATCTCTGACTGGGGTACATAGTTTACATCACGATTATGGAGAGCTGTACAACATGAGTTAAGCACAACATTTCACCCTCAGACGGATGGACAATCCGAGCGCACTATTCAGATACTGGAGGATATGCTCCGTGCGTGTGTGATATATTTTGGGGGTGCTTGAGATCAGTTCTTGCCACTTGTGGAGTTTTCTTACAACAGTTATCATTCCAACATTCAGATGGCACCGTATGAGGCTCTATATGGTAGGCGATGTCGGTCCCCAGTGGGTTGGTTCGAGCTGACCGAGGCCAAATTATTGGGTACGGACTTGGTTCAGGATGCCTTGGAAAAGGTTAAGGTGATTCAGGTTAGACTTTGCACAGCCCAGTCCAGACAGAAGAGTTAGGCGGACCGAAAGGTTCACGATGTTCCATTCATGGTTGGAGAGCGGGTCTTACTCCGGGTTTCGCCTATGAAGGGCATTATGAGATTCAGAAAGAAGGGCAAGCTGAGCTCAAGGTTCATTGGTCTTTTTGAGGTGTTGCGGCGTGTTGAGGAGGTTTCTTATGAGCTTGTCTTACCTCCCAGCCTAGCAGGAGTTCATTCGGTATTTCATATTTCGATGCTCCGGAAGTATCACGGTGATCTGGCTCATATATTGGATTTCAGCTCAGTCCAGTTGGACAAGGATCTATCTAATGTTGAGGAGCCAATGGCTATTTTAGACAGGCAGGTCAGAAAGCTAAGGTCAAAGAACATTGCTTTCGTGAAGGTTCAGTGGGGAGGTCATCCGGTTGAGGAGGCGACTTGGAAGACCGAGCAGGATATGCGCAACCGTTATCCTCATCTTTTACCACTTCAAGTATGTCTCTATGCTCGTTCGAGGACAAACGATTATTTTAAGAAGTGGAGGATGTAACGACCCGGTCAGTCGTTTTGAGTGTATTAGCCCCGATCCCCTATTTACTGTTTCCCCCGTACCGTTTTCTGCTTATGTGACTTGCCGGGAGGTTTCGTTTTGGTTTCTAGAGTGTTTTGGGACACTTAGTCCCTAAATGGAAGCTTAAGTCTTAGGATTTTGACCGTAAGCGGAACTGTGTGAAGACGACTCCGGAATGGAGTTTCGTCGGCTCCGTTAGCTCCCTTGGGTGATTTTTGGCTTGGGAGCGTGTCCGGATTGTGTTTTGGAGGCCTGTAGCTCATTTAGGCTTGAAATGACGAAAGTCGAATTTTTGGAGTTTTGGACCGATAGTGAAAAGTTTGATATCGGGGTTGGAATCCAATTCCGGAAGTTGGAGTAGGTCCGTAATATCGAATATGACTTGTGTGCAAAATTTGAGGTCAATCGGACGTGATTTGATAGGTTTCGGCATCGGTTGTAGAAATTTAAAGTTTAAAGTTCATTAAGTTTGAATCGGAGGGTGATTCGTGTTTTTAGTGTTGTTTTATGTAATTTGAGGGCTCGACTAAGTTTGTATGGTGTTTTAGTACTTGTTGTTATCTTTGGTTGAGATCCTGGGGGCCTCGGGTGTGTTTCGGATGCTTAATAGATTGAATTTGGACTTAAGCTAGTTGCTGAAGATTTTCTGGTTTCTGGTGCTTTCGCACATGTGGACGGGAGAGCGCATGTGCGGGATCGCATATGCGAAGGAGGAGCCACATATGCGGCCAAGAAGGAGCTGGGCAGGAACCGCAGGTGCGAAGATATTCCCGCACCTGCGAGATTCGCAGATGCGGGCAACTGGGCGCAGGTACGAGGGGAAGCCGCATGTGCGATACATTTCCGCACAGCGGAGCCTGGGCTTCTAAGTGGAATCCGCATCTGCGATGTTGTTTCCGCAGGTGCGGCGTCACAGATGCGACAGAGAGTACGCATGTGCGAGATTTCTGGACAAAACACTTAAATGCAAAGGTTCGCGATTTTTGCTCATTTTCAACATTTTGAACTCGAGTTTGGCGATTTCTTGGGAGCATTTTGAGGGGTTTCTTCAGGTAAGTCCCTTGTACTTATTTTTGATCAATAATCTTGCTTCCCCATTTATAATCCCACCTAGTTAGTGTGTATTTAAGGTGGAAATTGGGAGTTGGAGGCTAGAGATTTGAAGAGTTTGATTTGGGGTTTTGAGTAGTCATTTGAGGTCGGATTTTGATAAATTTGGTGTGGTTGGACTCGTGAGTGAATGGGCTTTCGAATTTTGTGATTTCTGCTCGATGCCGAGACGTGGGCCCGGGTCGACTTTCTAGGGCGAATTTTGAAATTTTTGTTAAAGTATTGATTTCATTAATTAGATGAGCCTATTATAGTTGTATTTATGATATGAAATTATTTTTGGCTAGATTTGGGCCATTCGGAGTCGGATATTTGTGGAAAAGGCATAGTTACCGATTGATTGAGCTTGGTTCGAGGTAAGTGGCTTGCCTAACCTTGTGTGGTGGAACTCCCATTAGGATTTGGTACTGCTTTTGATACATGAGTGTCGCGTACGTGAGGTGACGAGTGCGTACATGGGCTATTGTTGCAAAACTCCATTTTCATTATGTAAAATACCTGTCTTCCTTTAACTGAGCTACACTAGGATATGAATTTATCCTGTTTAGTCTAGAAGAACATGTCTATATGTCTTAATTGCTTATGTGAACTATGTTCAATATGCTTAGTGAATTTTCTGCTTCTTTCTTCACTGATACTTAGTCTAAATCGTAAGATTTCGTGATGTAGTTGTATTTCCATTGTCTGCGCTGCATATTTACTTTGGGACTACGAAACGGTATTCAGGTAGATCTCCCTGCTCTGCATATTTACTTTGGGACTACGAAACGGTATTCCGGTAGATCTCCCTGCTCTGCATATTTACTTTGGGACTACGTAGCGGTATTCCGGTAGATCCCCTTCTTCTACATATTTACTTTGGGACTACGAAACGATATTCCAGTAGATCCCCCTGCTCTGCATATTTAATTTGGGACTGCGGAACGGTATTCCGGTAGATTCCCTGTTGTTATTTCAGTGTACTGAGCTGTTGACTTGCTATGATTTCATTCTTTGTTAAATTTCAGTACTTATTTTATTGCAATATTTCATTCTGTCTTAGTTTATTTTATATATACCAGTAGGGCCCTGACCTGATCTCGTCACTACTCGACCGAGGTTAGGCTTGCACTTACTGGGTACCGTTGTGGTGTACTCATGCTACTCTTGTGTACTTGTTTTGTGTGAAGATCCATGTACTTCTTATCAACCCCGCTACTAGTTGAGAGTGCTTGTTGATGTACGGAGACTTTAAGGTATATCTGCCGCGTCCGCAGACCTCGGAGTCCCCCTCTATTCCCTCATATGTCATTTACCTTCCTTACTTATATTATTAGACTCTGGTGTATAGAGATACTAGTTTCCTTCTGTAGCTTGTGATTTATGATGTTCCGGGTTTTGAGATTTATGTGTATTTTTGAATAGTTAGTTATTGTACATGCCAGGCGGCATGGTACCAGTTATGTTGTTATTGCTACAGTTAGTTGTTAAATTTATGTTTTCATTTCATTATTATGCAAATGTTAGACTTATCTAGTCGTAGAGATTAAGTGTCGTCACGATGTCATGCGCAGGGGAAATTTGGATCGTGACATTTTCATTATAAACCAATGTAAAACTAAAATAATTATCCAACACTATCGTCATTCCTAGTATTGAATTGAATTTCTTTTGTTAGCATTAATATTGGAGGAATTAATGCAGACTACATATAAAAACTAAAATAATTACCTGTTTTTACCTACATTGAATATATTTACATTTAATACCCATGCGATCTAACTTAATTACCCGACTACTCATTTCCCCTTGACCCATAAGTTTTTAATCAGTCTCATCGTGTTGAATCTGTCCTCTTCTAATGAAAGTACCCTTAGTTTGTTTTTGGGTATTTTGAGTTGAAACCGTAGAGCAAACTTTTGAGAAGTAATAATTAAAATGATCAAACTCAATATTCCTTTAACTTGCAAATACACAATCACTTTTATTGCGTGGAGATATGTTGAGAAACATTTTATGTAGGCACGATAAAACCTCTAAATTATTTTTTATTATTTTGAACTTTCAAATATAAAATTTAATTGAAATAGCGTATAAGTGATTTGAATTTCAAAAGGATTGTCCTAAATTTTTGTCCAATTATTGTCCATATTTTTAATAAATAAATAATAATATTTATTAACATTTGTGGAATTCCATGGAGGTATTATTCATTGCATAAGCTCTCATTGAGTTAATTAGATTATGTGACAACTGATATTATTTCAGTTCAATAATTGATTTTAAAAAAAAAAAAAAAACTCTTTGTATACAATTGTATACCCGGTTGGTATAGCTATATACTATATTGATATCATATGTTAGTTGGAGTATTTTTTGGTTGTATTAGCTATATTTAATTGGTACACTATTTTATTTTTCGTTAGTAATAGTAGAATCATACAATATCTTGAATTTTTTTAATATTTATTTATGCATGTGTATTATGTAATCATTTTGATTTTTTCTTTATGCGTTTGTTTTATATAATAGTATTATAGTACAATATCTTGAAATATATTCTTATATTAATATGTGATACACTATTTTTTTTATTTTTCTCTTTATGCATGTGTATTATGTAATAGTAGTATAGTCATATATAGTTGCCCAGAATTACTTAGTAGAACTATATACCCTATTGGTATAATTATATGTCATATTGGTATCATATGGTAGTTGGAATATTTTTTTGGTCGTTTTAGTTATATTTTTAAGTGAATTCTATTCTGAAATAATTTATATGATCATGTTTTGCTGCGTTGGATTTTCTTGTACCTATGGATATAAATTTTGTGTATTATGTAATAGTTTTTATAGTTATATGCAGTTGTTGGAATGATCCCGTACAACTATATACCATATTAGTATAGTTATATACTATATTGGTATCATATGCTAGTTGAATCATTTTTTGGTTGTATTAGCTGCATTTAATTGGTACACTATTTGATTTTCTTTTAATAATAGTAATATAGTATAATATCTTGAAATACTTTATTATATTAATATGTGGTACATTATGTTTTTTATTTTTCTCTTTATGCATGTGTGTTATGTAATAGTAGTATAGTCATACAGTTGCCGGAAATTAACCAGTAAAGCTGTATACCATGTTGGTATAATTATATGCCATATTGGTTTCATATGGTAGTTTGAACATTTTTTGGTTGTTTTAGCTGTATTTTTAAGTGATTACTATTCTGAAATTATTTATATGAACATGATTTGCAGTGCTAAATTTTTTTTTGTGCCGATGGACATAGATTATGAGTATTATGTAATAGTTTTTACATTTATAAGCAATTGTTGGAACGGTCCTATACAACTATATACCCTGTTAGTATACGGAATGAGCAAGTTTTTTTTTAAATTTAATCCCACCCTTTAGAGATTGGATGTGCTTTCATTCCATCGCAAAAGATAACAAAAGGAGGGGGGCTAGGCCTGACCTCTGTTATATCAAAGATTGAATGGGTTCAACCTTTTGAAAAATTGGACTAATAAGTTCTTTAGCCTTCTAGTCCATATCACTGAACAATTAACTAACATAGAAATTTGCCTTATCATATCTAATTCTGAAGCTGGGCAATTGCCATTTATCTAGATGAAAGGGGCCCTTTGCCTCTCTAGGAATGTTCTAAAAGGCAAAAGTTATAGAAGACTCTCCCTTGACAGATGCATTTTTGGCCAATCGATCAACTACTTGATTAGCTTCTTTGTAGAAATGATTGGTCTTAGCATTTGCTTGGCTTAAAATCAGTATCATTTCCTCAATTATGTCCTTCAATCTGGCATTGCTCATGTTGTGATTTGTGAGCATATTCTTGATTATCAAGGAGTCTACTTCAAGGATGAAATTTGTGTAACCATTTTGCCAACACCATTCAGCCCTATATTTAGCTGCCATGGCTTCAACTTCATTGTTGCTGTTGCAAATGACATGTAGGGAGAATGCCATGATGAGCTCTCCATCCTTATCCCTGACTATACCTCATATTCCTGCTTTCCCTATTTCTTGAATGTAGCTTTCATCAGTATTTAGTTTTACCAAGCCATGAGGAGGCTTCTCCCAAACAACTTTCTTCCAGGTTAAGACTGGCTTTAGCTTATGTCACGACTCAAAATCCAACTAGTCGTGATGGCACCTAACCCAACCCGCTAGGTAAGCCAACTTTCAACTATCCAATTCCAATAACAATTATTTAAAGTAATTTAAGTGAATAAACATCTTAATCTTTTACATCCCCCAAGAACTGATAGTACAAATCATGAGCTTCTAAGAATAGAGTATACAAAGCGAAAATGAAATAAATACATAGTCTGTTTGAATAATACATAAATAGAGCTTTTATAAATCTAAGGCTACCCTGAACAAAAGGCAGCTACAATAGGAACGCAGGTACATCTTCAAGTCCCGCAACCATCGAGCACAGCAACAATATAAGCCAACATCTGCACGCAATGTGCAGAAGTGTAGTATCAGTACAAGCGACCCATGTACTGAGTAAGTAACAAACCTAACCGTAGGTTGAAAGTAGTGACGAGCTTCCACCAAGTCGGGTCCAAAACCAATAGTCCACAACAATCCATAACAACATAAAGAAAATAATATCAGAAATAACTCAGGGATAAAATACTCAGCCAAATAATGATTTCAAAAAAATTATAGTTCTTCCTTTCAAATATCTCAGTGAAAACCCAAATCGTTTGCCGAAGTTTCTAATAATATAAATAGTTTGAAAATAATAAATTTCTCCCAAAATTTTATCAATAATAAATAAGATATTTCATTTTCCTTCCGGATAACCCGTGTAAAAACAAATGCATCACTATGCCCATCTGTCAAAAATATGTGAGAAATCATGAATGATGTGATGTTGTACAGCACGAGGAAATACATCTCTATGCATGTATGTTATGTGTGCATGCCAATGTAATGCAACTCAATGATAAAATCATAAACAGCCCCTCGGGCAGAACATCACTCATATACAATCCCTCGGCAAACCTCACAGTCACTCGTGCCACTCGGGCATACCTCACAATTACTCTTGCCACTCGGGAATACCTCATAATCACTCTTTCCACTCGGGCATACCTCACAATCACTCATGCCTCCCATTCACTCAACACTCGGCACTTAGCACTCGTCACCGTAGGTACCTGCACTCACTGGGGGTGTGTACAGACTCCGAAGGGGCTCCTTCAGCCCAAGTACTATAATCTGCACGGACAACTCACATACGATAATAATAAAGTATGCTGCAGGCGGTCAGCCCCGATCCACACTCATCCTCACAAATCAGGCCCTCGGCCTCACTCAGTCATAAAGTATGCTGCATGCGGGCATCCTCAATCCACACTCATCCTCACAAATCAGGCCTTCGGCCTCACTCAGTCATAAAGTATGCTGCAGGCGGG